TAATATTTGAAAGTCAAGATCTTTGAAATACTGATGATACTTGCAAAAAACTACTTTTGATATATTTTCATTGGCTAAACAATAAAAACTGAGTGTAAACATTCACTGAAATATGAATATAGGAGAACCACGACAAATAAAACTCATTTCATTCATTTATTCTATATCAATAATGATATTTCATGTTGGAAGCCCGAATATGCAAATATGAATCCTTATTCATGCACTACTTCAGAGAAAGTATTATGAAAATGAATCATGACACAAAACACTCAATTTTTAATGTTGTCGCCGTTGGAGAGTATACATGTCTGATGAGAGCTATTTGCAGTTTCTTCCAACACCATTTCCATTACTTATATATGTCACAGAAAACAAAGGGCACCTCAAAAATATATTTTGCGCATTCAAATAAGTCGGATTTTAAAAGTAATTTCCAATTCTATTTAGTCATTTCAGCTGAAAATTTGACAAATTTTCAATAAGTTAAATCACTAATTATTCCCTTTTGTGTGATTGTTTGTTGACATTATTACGTCTCTATGGATTTTTAAATTTTGTTCATGAAACTACCACTAAAAAGACTGATTTCTTGTATCGGATATTGTAAGCAGAGGTGGCGTAAGGCGTGGCCGGTGTGGGTTTGAAAAATGCTAGTCTGATGCACGTCAGTTTTTCGAGGAAAGCAGTTATGATATGCCAAAAAGTTTCAATAATGAAAGGATAGCCAAAAAGAAAAGGATGTTTGATCATGAATGCAGCGATTAACCTATACAGTCTGCCAAAAGCCGGCATGAAACATTTTTTACACGCTTTATATTAGCTTCACCTGTATGTATGTATGTATGTTTGTTTGTACGTATGTTTGTTTGTAACTCTCAAGCTCGGGATTTGTTTTGACAGAATTATCGGCATTATTGCTTGATCTATTCGCGGGCAGATGGTGCTGTACGTAACCTCATTGATATTGCTTGATCTATTCGCGGGCAGATGGCGTTATACGTAACTATCAATTATTGCTTGATCTGTTTGCGGGCAGATGGCGCTGTACGTAACTATCAATTATTGCCTGAGCTATTCGCGGGCAGATGCCGCTATACGTAACCACCTTGCATTGTCTAAATCTATAGACAATGCTCCTTGGTGGGTCCATGTAATTCATCATAATGTACTCCATCATAACATCAAAGGAGATAAATCGCAATGCATCATAATGTTACAAGATCATAATCGTAATATATAGAATACGTAATGCAGAGAAACGTAAGCCGTCATAATCGCAATTCATCATAACGTAAAACAGTAGAACGTACAAAGTTATATTGATAATTTTGTAACTTGGTATTTCATAAATTTTGTTTATGACTCAAAATAATTTGGCACTACCATTACTCACTTTCATGTCATTCTACAGCCATATTAACAATTTGAAAACTTCAGAGACAAAATAGAGGCAAACAAATCGATCTAGAATATATTCGTAANGAATTATTGTGAAAAAAGCGTGGGCGCTTTGTGACATTTTTTTTGTACATCAGGCGCCCGTCGATTTTTTCACAATAATACTAGTATTTTCGTTCGTTATTGTTTTAAGCTTATTTGAAAAAATTATTTTCAACTTTTTAGTTCGATGTTCTTTAAAAGCGTGTTTTTTATTATTTTTTTCAACTATATTTATTAATACCATGATTGACTCTGTGATGATCACTATAGATTGATGATCACCCACATCTTTTGGCCTGAAATTGATGATCTGGACATCAAAGACATGTGGTTTCAACAAGACAGGGCCGCGTGCCACACAACTCATGATTTGATATTCTGCACGAACGATTTGAGGACAACGTGGAGAAGTGAAGTGAACTGGCCACCGATATCGTACGATTTGACCCCGTTAGACTTATTCTTGTGGAGTTTTCCCAAGTCGCAAGTGTATGCGAATACACACACACAAGCCGTGACGAACATTTTAACGACGTTATATTCCACACATAGGTCTTCCAAAGGAATAAAAAATTTCGATGATATCTTACACACACATTTGTTTTATTTCAATTTCAAAAAATAGGAAGCGCTCAATGAAAGACCCATTACAAGCCACTGTATATAAATATATTAAATTAATAAATGTTTTTTTTTTCACTGTACACAACTCATACTATATGTTTGTCAGGCGGTTAACCAACAGTGCCCAAGCACATTTCACTTGAAGATGACACCCAAGCGGTGAATTTTACGAAACTGCTAGTTCACCAAATACATCTGCACATTCTTTCAGCATCGATTCTGTTTTCTCCACAGTTTCCACGAGACTTTCTCCGTTGAATATCCTCATTGTCCAAGTCACGACGGTGAAAGTAACGGCGTTCACAGGGAAAGCACGAATCAAAGTTGGCGCCAAACCCTTGAACAAACAAGAAATGCCTCCAGATTGGACAGTTTTCCTGAAACAGTCGTAAGAGCTGGTGTACTGTTTGGATGTTATGCCATCCACCTGCATTCTGGATTTGATTAAGTCGACGGGGTATGTTATCAGCCATGATGCAACACCTGAAAACAATTAAAATAGTCAGCATAATCAGCGTAATCAGCATTTTATAGTCAGGTTGAGTGAAAATGTGATATAATTTCAGTAGGGGTTACTGAAGAGGGGCAAATAGTGACAAAATTTATCTGGAATTCAGTATCGTGAATAACACAAATTCTACCACAAATCAGGTCAGTCAACTTTCGGAAATAAATCATGAATGGTGAAAACAGAAAAGTTTTGTTGTAATTTTTTCCGTTTTGATGTCATGTGTTTTTGAAGCTCCATATCTCAATGAATATTCATTCTACTGTGTCGTGATGTATACTGATCGATAGATAATTTTGTACTTTATACATGCTATTCATTTTTTCCAAATTTTGAATGTTGGCCTTTTTAGCTTACTTATTTACAGTGTGTAAAATATAAATGGAATAAATTCATTATTTCGGTTACGGTACATATTTTAACAAATCTCCAATTTTTCAAATGGGAAGTATAGGCTT